GTGAGGCCCGGGAACACGTTGCCCAAACAAGTGGTAAATGCTCCCTCCCTGAGAGTATTCAAGGCCAGGCTGGACAGAGCCTTGGGCAACACGGTCTAGTGCAAAGTGTCCCTGCCCATGGCAGGGAAGTTGGAACTAGATGATCTTAAGGTCCTTCCCAACCCAAACCGTTCTATGATAAGTAAGCTATGTGGATGCAGCAAGTGATCCAGCAGGCAGGAAAAGATGACTTTAAACCATCAGTATTTCTAAGTGTAGGTCTTCAGCTTTTCTATATTGTAAAGACCAAAGCAACAGTATACTTGCATCATTTAGAGAGGAATTCTGGAAGACTACACAATGTAATAACACTAAGACTTGTGAAACAATGCAAAGAGTTGCTTGGATAAGAAAACAGAGGAGCAACATTCTTGGACAAAATGCTTGAATTTCTACAATTATTTTAGCAGCCATATTTGAGATATGCTGTTGGCTATTAAGGGGACTTTCAACAAGACTTTGACCATATACCAGTATCCTGGTTTCAGTTGGAATGGTTAATTTTCTTCCTAGTAGCTGGGTGCAGTGCTGTGTCCTGGCTTTAGTCTGAGAACAATGCTGGTAACACACTCATGTTTTAGTTGTTGCTCAGTAATGTTTACTCTGACCAAGGACTTTCTCAGTCTCATGCTCTGCCAGGGAGGAGGGGAAGCCAGGAGGAAGCAGAGACAGGACACCTGGCCCAAACTAGCCAAAGGGGTATTCCATACCACAGCACGTCATGCACAGTATATAAACTGGGGGGAGTCACCTGGAAGGCCCAGATCGCTGCTCGGGTCGGGCTGGGTATTGGTCAGTAGGTGGTGAGCAATTGTACTGTGCATCACTGTTAGGTCCTCTCTACCCACTCCCCCCCCCTTCATTATTATAATATTATTTTATTATTAATATGTTCTCATCTCAACCCATGGGTTTTACCATTTTTTCTGATTCTCCTCCCCATCCCACTGTGTGTGTTTGGGGAGGGGGACTACTCAGGGCAGGGAGGGTGGAGCAAGTGGCTGCATGGTGCTTAGTTGTCAGCTGGGGTTAAACCATGACAGACAGTTAGTTCCTGAATATGTTTTGAACAGATAGTCACTGAAATTGTTTTCAAAAAAATTCCAGATCACTATGAATAACAAATGCAAGGCTGACAGCCTAGGAAGCACTGAGCTGTAAAAACTTAGGTCCCAAGATTCTCAAATCAGTTTCTCAAGACTGGGAACTGGAAGAAAGCTATAGTGACAGTGAATATACCTTTTCAATGAGGATAAAAGGTGTCAGCAACAAAATTTTGCACAGGAGTTTGCAGCAGTCTTTTCTGGCACCAAGAAAGCAAGCAAAACTGTAATTTCTGTCTTCTAGCAGAGTGGCTGTTGAAAGGAAGTGCTTATATATTTGAAAGAGAAAACACTTAAAAGAATTGAAATATCACTGTTACTTTTAAAAGTCTAGTAAATGGGTACAGAAAAGACAATGGAGATGTTTCTGAGATTTTGAGCTCAGCCTTCCTTGATATGAACTAGCAAGCCCTTTATATACACTGCTGAAGTTTTACCTTACATCGTGAAGCATGTAACACAGCTGTACATTAAACCACTGTTCTCATTTTTAATACAAAACAGAGTAGTCAGATAGACAAAACCTGTTTTAGAAGAACTCAAAGGACAGCTTTACTATGCAGACTCTTTCTGAGCAGACAGCCAAAAATGAGCAGAATAATGTGTTTTAGTTCAAACAGAGTTCAAAGATCTATTTGTGTAGGGTTTCAAACACCGAAGGCTCCCTGAAAGACTTCGGATCAACACTAGTCTGTAGCAAAGTAACTTACAGTGCTTCTTTCTTGAATTTAGTAAGAAATATGTATCAGAAACTCACAATGGGAATGTACAAAAGTAGAAGGTATTTCAGATGTTCTGAAATTAAGCTGAACTCCAAGCATAAAGTTATCTTCTGTAATTTACCCATTTGTTCTTAAAACTACGATTTCTCCATCAGTCAAAAATATAATCTTCTCAGGACTGACACAGAAATTATCAGTAAGAAATTTTGCCAAAGAAAACACTTCATGGAGCTATACTTTTACAAAGGAAGTTTAAATCCTGCAAGCAAAATTTTTTGCTAACAGATATTACTTCTAGTTATTAGATTTTTTCTCACTAGTAATTCAGAGGAGAATACTTCCTTCTTAAACTGAAAGACATATTTTAATACAAGTATTGAAATTTCTGTTCCAAAGTAAAAAAATTCTCAGCAGAGCAACCATTAGCCCTTACATCAGATTTACACAAGTCGAAATTACCAATACTGGAACTAAACACTAAAAGCACCAGCCTTGGCAATGTGAATTGAGAGCATTCAGAAAGAAGCTTATCTAAAAAAACCCAGAGTGCACTGGGAACCTGAACACGACCTATGAAAATCAAATGAAAAATCCATACAGGTCTTCAGTGAATACACAATCAAACCTGTCTGATGTATGCAAAGTCTAAATAACTGCTTAACAATACATACAGACAGAAGTGTCGTTCATGAGCATATTTCAAATAACCACCATTCTTTTTAGCTGTAACCTTTCAGGACTAAAATAATCCACTCGAAGACTTCATTGGGCCACTGCACCAACCTGTTTCAAGTTTGCCACCTTTTTTCCTGGCATTGCTTACCAGAAACATGGTCTCTGCAGAGCCAGAACAACAGAGTCCTGGATCATATTTGGACAGCCTTTCTCTTGTTCATATTTTGTTTTCTGGAAACTTTAATAACTAAAATATGGACATAAGGGTGACCATAACAACTTACAAAATAATAATTTAAATAGCTGGTCCAGGGTGGATTTACGTAATTAATAATTGGGGCTGGTCTTTAGAATACAGAGCCTCTATTTTCTTAGTGTGGCAAGAGGTGATGGTATTCATGTTAATTTGTGAGTTCAGGTTATATGACAGAGCAGAAATAACTGAAAATTATTAAATACCATTTCATCCTTATTATGCTCCTAGCACCCCAAGAATCCAATTTTCAGAACAGATACTTCAAGTCTTGTTGGGATGTATATGCTTGTATAGCACTTAACTTTTAGAAACGTGGCCCCCAGGAACTGCAGTTAGTATTTGTGTTGGAGTGGACTAAGCTTCTGGAGATTTTAACCCTTCTGTTTAATGACTGCTTTTACATTGACCTTCTGGTACAGTATCTCTTTAGCACATACAACACTGACTGACTGTGAAAACATAAATTTAAAAGTTCAAACTTAAAATGGAATTAAGATGACAGGCAAAGGCTCCTTTCTACCAAGCAGAATTTCCTGCCTAGCAGACACCAGGTCAGCACCTTAACCAGCACTCTGAGCGTTTTTCAGCACTCCATTCAGGTTCCACCCTGGATGCAATTTAACAGACCTGACAAGCGAAACTCCTACGAGCCAGAAAGGTCAAAAGTTGAAAAGCTACTTAAGCAGCTGCTCAAAGACTTCATCGTAGCAATAACACTCCTACCTCTACATGGCTTCTGAGTCCACAGGTACTCCCAAACTTACTTAAGAATTTTCCTATATAGAGCAAAAATTAATTACAAATGTACATGCTCTTTGTAAACCATACAGAGGAATTGTATGGAGCAATAGCCCTAAGCAACATTCGTTACAATTATTCTTTTTGACTTTTCTTTTTCAGAATTTGGTGCGTTTTCTACACACACACAAAAATATCACAGTATTAGAATGAATTACCAGTGATATGCCACCACTATGCCCTGCTGCTTCAAATGGTATTCTAAAAATATTCATCACTGGTTTGCCTTTCCTCTTCCAAAATTCATTTAGGAGGGAATTTTTCTAGCTATCTGAGACAGATTAAAGTCTCATACCTTCTAGACTGGCGTTTTTCTGACAATGCTCAATGATTAGAAATACCCATAATAAACTACAAGGCCTGTGCAAACTTCCCATGTAGCTCTTTCTCCAGTAAACTCCTGCCACACAGCAACATTACTACCCCAATCAAAATCTCCTTGTGAATATTTATGTATCACATTCTGTGGTGGTTTTTGCAATTTCTCTCATGCATTCTTTGTGCACTAAAACAAAGCTCATGAAAGTTAAAATAATGTAAACATAAATTAAGTCACTTAAGTCCTACTACTTATATTATTCTCCATTAAAGGAAAAAATATTAGAGCTTACATTCTTATGACTGAAAATGGAATCCAGTTATGAGAGCAGAAAGAAACTACAATTCACATTTGAGTCATGTTTGCACTTTTAGCACTTTGTGGTACAGGATGATAATACCACGGCAGTTCTAAATTAAAAGTGCTATAATCTTCATTTTATGTTGTTCTCTAAACATCGTTAGGTTTAAAAAACATTAAGGGGCTGCAGACTGAGAACCATTTCTCAACATTTAAAGTAAGTACTTATTTTATCAAGTTCTAGTTTAGTAGCAAATGACTTGATAGTCATCATTCAACAGTCAATGCTGGGACACTAAAATAATTTCTGCAGAAGAGACCAGCAAGTTTAAATTTCTAAGCAGACAACCATCTCAACAACCTGATTTTGATGAATATCACATACAAAAGTATCTCAAAAACGCAGGATGAAAAAAACCATAACTTTCCAAACCATGCTTTGTTTTACCTGAAGTAACACTGCAGAAGACATTGTCCTCTACCTGACTCAGGATCAGTGCTTCTTTAAAATAAGCACAGATCAATGATCTACCGTTCTTTCCAAACAGGCAATATCCTGGTTGACAACACACCCTTACTATGACCATTTCTTTAAATCAATCCCAAAATATTGCAGAGGTAAATAAGCATGACAACTTCACAGTTACAAACCACCCCAAAATAAAGGAGTTGCCAACATACAGAGGTTAACAAGGACATAAATATTTCATTGTCAAACACCCTCTAAATAGTGCACAGACACAATGAAACATCATTAACACTTCTTTTTCTATTTGAAAAACTCATACCTGGGTACACTGCATGTTAAGCTTCTTTCACTTGATGATGATGATGATGACGATGATGATCCAGGTCTCTGATCCGTTTTCATTCCTGGAGTCTCTGTTGCACTCATCTGAGGTTTTTCACCTTTCTTTTCTGGCTTTTTTTTTTCACTATCACTTTCATCACTGCCTTCTCCTAAGATGTCATCCACCTGCCAATAAGAAGAGAGTCAGTGTATCCTCTAAGACTATTCTATATCAATCTTTCACAATTATAGGAATGCTCTTTAATTATTAATAAGCAGCTTTAACTTTTCTTAACTTTCCTTGAAAATTCAAATTAAACCCAGTGTCTTCAATGCAGTTTCTGTGATATCTCTAACAACATTCTAGTCAAATTAAATATATTTAGTCTATGTTTAGCTTAAAATATATATAGATACTCTCACATATGTGATAGAGTCACATTTGAAGGTGTTTGCACTTTATAACAGGAACAGCCGTAAACAAAAAATTGTATACGATAAAAATGCTGTTTTATTAAATTAAAGGAATAGATTGTTTATGGTATTGTAACACATAACATATACTATACATATTTTATACTACTATAACATATAGATTCAGTTGGGCAAGGCATATTAAAATCTCTTGCTAGTAAGTATTCTTATATTTAAAGTTATATCTATCAAGAAATACCTGTAAAGAAATGTATTCCTAAATAATACACTATGAATAAAATGGAATATACAGAACCCTGTTCTCACCAGATTGTCTGCTTATGCTAACTTTAATAAAGGCAAATCTATCAAAACATTTACACATTTAATTAAATAATTGTTCGACCTTTGCTCCTGAAATTCAGCATGGGATTTGATACTCCTCTAAGAACATGTTAATTTGCTCTGACAGGTCTGGAACCATCATTAAAAGCAAATCATACTCATGAACTACCCTGCTGAGCTTCAAAAGCTTATATTCTCTTTGAGTCAGCATTCAACCTTCAGAAAAAGATGAAAACATGAGAAAAAGATGAAAACATGAGAACACACAAGTGAAGATCCAACAGTCTCTCTGTTTTTGTGAATGGCAGAGGACATAAGAAGCTGTATGTATTTCTCTCCTGATATTTAAGATCCTTTTTTTTTTTTCCTAAAGAAGCTTATTTCAGCATAAGTTAAAATACGCTTTCCAAATACTCTGTTTTCACTAATGCCATACCTGCTTTATCAAGAAGCTCTGTATACAAACATGGATCAAAAGATTTTATACTGCTTATCCACCAATTTATTTACATGGACGATCCCAAAAGCTAGAAGAAAGCTGTAAGAAAATCATTGATATCTGATCCTTCATAAATGCACCTCTAATTTCTTTGTGTACGTTGATACACATTGAAGGAAAGTCAAAGCTGCCTTCTGTTCATCAACTAAATGCATCTACAGAAAAGATCCATACCTCGCTAGTACTCTACTGGAAATATGGTAAATGAAATAACCTTTTTTCAGAAAAAGGGAACTCAAGAGAGGGTTTGCAAGCAAGGAGGGAGAGGAAATAGAAAATACAGAAGTTTGGTAACAGATAAAGACCTAGTCCATTTCTTTTTCTCATGTCCTACCCAAGAGAGAAAACGTGTATGACCCAAGAAGATGCTCCATAGGGCAATTTCACCAAGCACATTGATGACTCCTATCACACTCCTGTTGACTTCAGAAGGATGGAGTAATCTGGCATTTGTCTTCAGTCCTCTGCTAAACAGATGCATTTGGTGTTTTTATTACCTTTTTAGAAGTCTCACTCAGCTATTCCTATTTGAGGGTAGTAGCAAATAATTTTTCTTCCTTATCTTGTGCTACTTTGCACTGAGGATTCTGCCAATCTTTGTTTTTTGTGAAAGAGAAATGATGCAGAAGGAATAATAATGGAAAAAGATAAAAGGTAAGTAGTACTTCAAAACATCCTAAAATTATAATTTTGAGGAGACTTTCCAGCATAAGGGAAGGCAAGGACATTTTGTTACAAAGTAGACTTGTGAAAAACAATTTCTTTAAATATGTAGTTGTTTCAGAGTTCCACAACTCAAGCTTAAAACCAGATTTAAAAATCCAGTTTTATCCTTGCGTGGAACAACTTCTGTAAAAAAAGTGATAAACAACTTGCAAGCTTCTTAGAGCTACAGTTTAAATAGTTCCATTGGTCTTTGCCTTGGTACATTTTTACTACCTGAAATACTGCTAATATTCAGCTCTTTCACTGTGAAAGCTGTAAAGAAGCCATAACAAAAAAGGAAGCATACACCAGCTTAGTTCATCTAAACACAGATGATAGTTTCAAGTAGAAACTGCAGGAACTGCTGTCAACTCAAATCATGTGAGTTCCATGACCAGAAGTTGTCATATGGAACACTAAGCCTGTATAGCTTTATTAGAACATACTCACTGTAACCAACGGCCAACAACTGACAGTCAAATGGAAGCACAGATCTACAGCTCTAACAACTCCCTTCCAGTAAGTCTTACATTTAAATTACATTGCTTCATTCCAAAAGCAACACTTTTCCAGACAGTCATATGTTTACAACTATGATTTCACTACAAAATATGTTAGGGTTTTTAAAGGACAAAGTTAGGTTGATAGGCATTCAGTATTACAGATGTCTTATAAACTGAACTTTTAGTCTTTTAAAATCTCCTTTGTGTGAACAGCTTTGACAGACTAGCAGCCTAGTTACTGCCATGTCTTTTTCTTTAATTTTGCACAAACATGACATTACTCATTTGAAGTCTGGAATGCCATTTAATATTCGAATTACTAAATCAGTTGTACACATACATGCCCCAATTCTGTGGAAAGGTATTTAAAATGTATGTACAAGTCATACAAATACGCAGCAGATTTTAAAAACCATTGCATATAAAAACAATTAATGTGGGATGGTCCTTAAAAATCACTTTTACTAAAAAGGCATCAAAATACAGATTTTTACCCAACTGTTGACTAAAACAATTGCAAATGGTGCTGAAAAATATAAAGATTACCTATTTTCATCTTCCAGGTTTCTCAGAAGAAATGGAAAACCAAACAATGTTTTTAATGTGGCATTGAGATTTAAGCCCTTCTCATGAACAAATTAATAGGTAAAAAAAGTGCATTAATATTTAAGCAGCAACTATCTATCTAGACACATCACTAAATTTAAATAAATAAAAAAGCTAAAAGAACAGAGGAAATTTTCAATCTGATTCAGACCAAGACAGATACTGATATACGAACTACAGCTTCTGCTTATAACATCAGATTTTATATGATTAATACAAATGGAACACATAGCATTTGAGAAGAAAATGCCAGCTAATACAAAATCTGAGTGATAAGATACAGTGAGGGGATGTTTACTGCTTGAACACCATCATCGCAGCTATCTTTAAAAGACTTTTATAACACAGCAAGAATGACTAACATTGAAAAAGAAGAATGATTCATCCTCTGTAGATGCCAAGTTGTTCCATTTAGGAAAAGAATGAAAAATCTGATGATTCTTTTAAACACCTGATTATAAAAGCCAGAAAACATCCTCAGCTGACAAAGCTATTTTATTTCTTATTTAGGAGCACAGCATACGCTCATGCAGACAAAGCCCAAAGAGAAATGAGATTTTCAGTCTCATGTTCCCTGATTATGAGCTGTAAAGTACCTAAAGCTCTAAAACCTTCTGTAGTATTAACAAATCAAGTCAGCTAGAAAATATTCTTACTCCAGAAGTTGAGTTTACACATTCAAAATGAATGAAGACTCTGAAGAAAACACCAGTAAATGAACTATCATGAGTAACCTAAAGTTGTTAGAGAGATAATTTATGGGAAATGTTTTGTGGCAGCATTATGGATGTGACAGAGACCTACCACAGTGCTTTACATTTTTTTGGAAGAAGCAATTACATATACAGTAATGTAAACTACACACACATATATATATAAAGGCTGTAAATAAGTTTAAATTCTTGTTTTTAAACTAGCAAGTATTTGAAAATTCAAGTTTGAACGGAACTGAAAAAGTAACTGCCTTAGACAGCAAAAGGACAACATATGTAACTACCGAAATGATCTCTTCTAGAAGCAGTAGAATGCTTTGAATCAATTCTTTACTGGAGTTACAGAGACTTTTACGAAAAGAATAGGTTTGATGGACAGCCGTTCATTTTCTGCTCCAGTTTTGCATGGAAGATACACACGTGTTCTCCCTGCTAGTCTTTCCCAAAAGACCAATTATACTTTTGCTCCAACTGATTACGTAAGTTGAGGGTAAAACAGGAAAAAAAAAACCAAGTAGCTTTTCAAGTTTGTTTCTACTGCTATAAAAATGACTGTTCATTGTTAGCAACTGAAACAGCTGAACTGACACTGACAGTAAGCACAGATAAAAACCAACTGCATTTCAGCATAAAGCTTGTATTTGAGATTGTGTTGAGTACATTGCACTTTAGGAAGATCCTGAAAATACTAATAATATAATCTAGCACCTGAATGTGCCAAAAGGTTTCAATAAATACCTTGTATTCCTCTGTGGCATGTAAGTTCAGAAAAATAACTCTAAAATTAAAATAAGATGTCCAAATACACCAGTAAGTGCCGGTATCTATATGAAACACAGTATTATCTATGCATACTTCTTACAAATACTTTAAAATGCTGCCATGTTTGGTGCCAGACACCATGATGCCCTCTTAGCAGTTATTAAACATAAAAGCTAGCACACCATCAACTCCATCCAATTAGTGAGTAAACTAATTGGATGCTCTGCAAATAAATACCAGACTAAAGACCAATAAATATTTCACCTATCAATTCAAATTTCACTAGCTTTATCTGCATTGTATTTATTTTAGTGTTCTTTCAATTAGCTGAATAAGCCTGACTCCCAGTGTTTCTGGTCAGGATGATATTCCTACACCGCAAACAATCAGTGTGGAATTCTTTCAATACTTACATCAAGCTGTATGTGTATAACTACTTGAAATGTAATAGGCTGCTCATACTGAAAAAATTAATTATGAAAGGCACACCACACCTTTTTTGAATATAAGTAAATACATCCCAAAATCCCAGTGTGCTCAAAACTGTTCCTAAGAATGAAAACAGTTCAGTGTTTAGGGCTGTTTTTGCTTGACATTTTCTCTTTTTACCAAAGCGTATTTTAGGACTGATCTCCTACA